CAGTTTTTATATACCCAAACTTTAATCATTTCTTTCATTATTGATTATATTCTAATTTTTTAAAAATATAATACTACTAATAAGTATCAAATAATAGACTCCAAACAGCTTTAAAATGTTAAATTATTAGGAAAACTATTTACTAAGGAAGAAAATAGTTTTTCATTTTAAAGAAATTTTTAGAAAATTAAAATATAGGCCAGGTGCAGTGGCTCATGCCTGTAATCTCAGCACTTGGGAGGCTGAGGCTGCTGGATCACCTAAGCTCACAGGTTCGAGACCAGCCTGAGGCAGAATGAGACCTTGTCTCTAAAAATAGCCAGGTAATGTGGCAGGGCCCTGTAGTCCCAGCTACTAGGGAAGCTGAGACAAGAGAATCACATGAGCCCAAGAGTTCAAGGTTGCTGTGAGCTATGACATGAGAGCCATGGCACTCTACTGAGGACAACAAAGTGAAATTGTGTCTCAAAAAAATAAATAAAATATAAACTATATAATTATTCCCATAAATTATAAATGAAAATTACTTACTGTTGTGTGACGTACAACACATTCACTAGGGTATCATCATTCATTAATTTGAATCTATTCATAGTTAAATTATGAAGAGTAAGAAATTGGGGATGATCTCTGACATATTCAACATTTTTTAACAAGTTAGTCTTCTGCTTTTGAAGCTTCCAAAGAATATTAAATGCATATCCCACTTGCTTTTCTGTAAGTGTGGCTTTGTTTCTTTCAATAAGATGAAATATTTGCTCTTCATCTGTACACTTACTCATCTGAATAATTAATGATTCACAACTGAAAGGTCGAAACTGAAACGATCTCCAGGAGAATGGACAAATAGCTTTTAGACGAAACATATTTGTAACCGACAAGTCTAGAAAAAAAGTATCTTTTCATTTACATCACAAATTTTCTTAGGCAAAGAAAACCATCTGCAACTACAAGTCAGAAACAATATGCTGCCATAAAAATAACTTTTTCCTTCATGGATTTTGCTTCCATTATAATGGCTCTGAACCATTCCAACATGCAGCACCTGCAAAAGAATTGGTTTAACACAGGCTTATTATCATGACTATTAAATTAATCCCAAAATTTAAATTAAAATAACAAGGGTTTTTTCTACATTAACAAAAGACTACTCTTAGTCTGAACTAGGTAGCAGAATTTGATCCAAAAACTAAATGTCAAAAAAAAGGGACTTCTGGCTCAGCACCTGTAGCTCAAGCGGTTAGGGCGCCAACCACATACACTGCAGCTAGCAGGTTCAAGCCCAGCCTGGGCCTGCCAAACAATGACAACTACAACCCAATAACAGCCAGGCGTTGTGGCAGGTCCCTGTAGTCCCAGTTACTTGGAGGCTGAGGCAAGAGAATCACTTAAGCCCAAGAGTTTGAGGTTGCTGTGAGCTAGCACACCAAGGCATTCTACCGATGGTGACATAGTGAGACTCTGCCTCAAAAAAAAAGAAGCAAAAAAGGGACTTCTGGCAGCACCCGTAGCTCAGTAGGTGAGGCTCCAGCCACAAACACCGAGGCTGGCAGGTTCGAATCCAGCCCAGGCCTGCTAAAACAACAATGACAACTGCAACAAAAAAATAGCCAGGTATTGTGGTGGGTGCCTGTAGCCTCAGCTACTCGGGAGACAGAGGCAAGAGAATTACCTGAGCCCAAGAGTTTGAAGTACCCGTGAGCTGTGAAGCCATAGCACTCTACTGAGGGCAGCA